CTGTAACTTGAATACTCGAGCTCATGCATTGAGCTGGATGAGCTTTCACTTCAGGATCTTTGTCTAAGCAGTTGGATGTCAGCGCATGAGGCTCTGCAGGCCAGAGAGCCTTGTCTTCTGCTAAAAAGTCTGGGCCATGCAACCAGTTGCTGTGGCATAGATCCTTCACTGCAATACCTCTACTTGCGTCATCCGCTGGGTTTAAGTTGGTTGGGACATATCTCCATTGATACGATTCGGTGTGGTCGTGGATAACTGTAAGACGGTTGGCAACAAACGTATGGAATCTTGTTGTTGTGTTTCTGATGTACTGAAGTACTGATGTTGAATCAGTCCAGAAGAAGGATTCATCTATGGGTATTTCGAGTTCCCTTCGAAGAGCCTTGTCCACCTCGGTGGCTAACGCAGCTGCAGACAATTCAAGACGTGGTACTGTTGGGGGCCTTAAATGAGCGAGGCGTGACTTGCCCATAAGGAATGATACGTYAGTACTTCCAGTGTTGTCAATGACTCTCAGATATGAAACTGCTCCATAGGRGTACTGMGATGCGTCAGCAAAGTTGTGCAGTTCTGCGCGCTTGATTTCACTTGAATGTATTGGCTTGAGACACCGTTCTATGGCCAACTGCGAAAGTTGTAGTAACTGTTCTCGCCATTTATTCCAACTCTGCAAGTCCTCTTCATCGATGTCATCATCCCAGTTGAGTTGCTTTCTGCATAAGTCTTGAATTATCCTCTTAGCAGGAAGAATCACTGGTGCTAGAAATCCTAGAGGGTCGTATATTGAGCTTGTGACAGACAGGATTCCTCTCCGCGTAGCTGGCTTCTCCTTAGGCATTACATCAAAGATGAACTTGTCTGCGTGCATGTCCCATTTTAGACCCAATGTCCTCTCAACCGGAAGTCTTTCCTTGTCCATGTCGAGATCGAGTACCTTCGCCGATCTTTCACCTTCAGGGATGGATCCTATCACGTCTGGGTCATTACTTAGCCACTTGGTCAGTCTAAAGCCTCCCATCGATAGCATGTCTGTAAGTTCTTTTACTAAACTTATAGCTTCCTCGCTTGTCTTGACCGACTTCAAACAATCATCTACGTAGAAATTGTTCTTAACGGTACTTACAGCTTCATCAGAGAATAAATGACTATGGTCATGAGCAGTTCTTTGCAGCGCATAACTAGAGCAGCTCGGTGACGACGTTGCGCCAAATAGATGTACTTCCATGCGGTAGTCGACAGGATCTGCTTTATGAAACATTTCATAAAGCTATAGTACTCCAGTGGGTCACCATCAAAGGTAGATAAGTCAGGTCTAGGGAGATGGATCACATGAGCTAAATTCATCATCATGTTGTTAGTCTCCGTCACTTTGGTATCTGGAAGTACACATTTCTTGACACAGGGATTAGTTTGATTTTCAACATTGTCATTACAAACATATTCAAATTGATCAATATTTTGATTGTCATTAACAGTATGAGTTAAATCATCAAGTACATCATCATTACATGATTGTTCAGTTTGTTCATCTAATCTGTATTCTTCTTTGACCGCATCATTGAGTTTCAATCCATTTGCTTGAGGTGCGTTTGATTGTTCTTCATAATCATTTAATTCTAACTCACCATTTTGGTCGTCATATGGTTCATTATAAATATTTACTTCTAGTTGAGCTCTCTCAAGTTTGTACTGTGCTTCTAGAAGCTCCCTTTGCATTCTCATATCTTCTTCCTGACGTAATAACCTTTGGCGATTCTT